GCCATACAAGCTCACACAATGGAGGATACTATGGAACACAGTTAGACAAGCACGTGTGCACATGTGATTGCGTGCACTCAACTCGTGAAACTCGTTGTGTTTGAAAAACTGATCTTGAAACTCGAGGTCGACCCTAGTATGGGATTCTCAGGGTTGATCAAGACCATAAGCCAGTCCTAGGAATGATTTTGAGACTTGTCTCGGGATTTATCTTCAAAATGATCGTGACCGACCCTACGAGAAGTCTCACGGACAGACTCGTGTATTAAGAGTGGTGTACGCAAGCACATGTACACACGTGCTTGTCTTAAAGTGTTTAATTGTATCCTAAGCTGTGTGAGCTCAAATGGTATTTTAGTTGATCACACTGTCGTCACTGCAACTGCGTAAAACCACGGACTCGGTATCTCTAGACTGATGGATGTCGGGCTTATCACTCCAGTAGACAAAGTGCGTGTTAGTAAGATTGTTGCAATGCAGATGTTCTCTTGAAGGACTAGGAGAACGCAAGATTCAGATGAGCTGCTGACGATAGGGTATATACAGCTCGAATAACTGTTGTACAGCTATAAAGTCTGTTAAAGTGTCAGCTATAGATTATACAAAGACGAGCAAGAGAGCAAGATATCAAGTCAACTATGAATACTTATCAACACTCCCCCGCCGCAGAAGTGACTATCTTCAAGTTACCAATATATTCATAGGACAGAGAAGGAGAGTTAATAGGAGAAATAGCAGCTACAGCTCCTTTAATAGCACGGACCACGTAGACTTGGTCAACAAGCCATTTCTGGCTGAGCTTAGATCTACCAAAGTTGTATCGGAGAACATGGTCCCCTACAGATAAGACAGAGAAGTCGGAACGGGCAGCAGAAGTATCAGCAAAGGTAGATCGAGCACGAAGAGTTGAGTCCACATTTTCGGCGGAAATCTGGGCCCACTTACAATCAGAGGAAATTCTCAAACTGACATCTTGTAGCAACTTATCAGCATCAGCTCGATCAGGCATTCGGAGAGGAATGAAATGATCCAAGCTATCATGAGCTTGCTTCGATAGGACCCGACTGGGAGATATAGCTGGGGGTAGACAACGACCGTGAACGAAATGCAGGTCGCTACTGAAGGAGCTTGAGGATGGAGAAGAGCGAACAATATTATTAACAATGTAGCATACCCTAGCCATCAAGATTGTCCAGTGGATCTTATTGCCAGTCTGCTGGATGAGACATCTTAACATAAAATTCACCAATCTGTGGCGGGATTCATGCCAGCCATTTAATCGCCTAGCGTGTCCCGGGCTCCGTGCCCACCTAATGCCAAGGGCCTTGCTCCATGCCACTGCAGCAGTACTTGTAAAGCGAGCGTCTGAATCGGAGAGCAAACCCAGAGGGTAACCACGAGCTAGGAAAATACCCTCTAAAGCAATAAGGGTTAAATGGGTAGAAGCGTTGTCGGGAACAATAGCATAGGTAACATAACCAGTTAAAGCGTCGACCACCAACAAAGACATCAATGAATCATAATGAGGAGTGCGGAACTCGTCTTGGCGAAAAGGACCGATAAGGTCGACTCCTAAGAGTTCCCAGGGCTGAGCTGCTTTGGTAAGCTGAGAACCGAGAGTATGATTAACAGTTCGAGACTGCCGTTGCGCTTGACAAATGACACAGCGCTTTTGGGCCTTCAAGTACTCTGAGAGAGGACCAGCATCGAAGTCCGACTTGATACTCCTGTAGAGCTTATAGGCGCCCCAGGGTGGTTGAAATATTTCATAGTGAAATATTTCAAGAATGTTTCAGTGAAATATTTCAAATATTTCACATTTCCATGAAGATTGGCATCGCCAACCCCTTCAGATTCGTCAATCTGGCGAATCTTAAGATTAAAACTCTAACCTCACAAACTTGAAAACTCAAAGAACGTTTCAGAAGTCTCTCAGTCTCAACTTGAGACTTCCAGACTCTCAAGTGTGAGGAGACTAATCTCGAAATGAGATCAAGCTAGAGCTACAGTATTGGTTCTGAACTAAGCACCGTTTGGGAAACCTACGGCGAAGAACAGAAGTTGTGCGTATTTTTTTCCAAAATCAAGTTAAACACAAAGTGAGAGAAAATGCTTTAGAACTTCATTAACCGGGGATCGTGCTCACGGGGTTTGTGGCACGCGATTATCTACTTCGGCGAAGAATTATGATGTACTTATCCGCATTTCAGCGAGTTAGGGAGGGTAAGTAAAAGGGGTCTCGATTAAACACGGTCTTGCAGTCCCTCGCTGATAAAAAGATTTGCACCGTCAATTACCAGTCGACAT